CGAGTAGGGTAAAATTTTCAAAAAAATACCCGGGCAAGTAAGGGATACTCGGATAGACTTCATGGTCAACGGTAAAACAGTAGTAAATTGATGTTATATTTTCTAGAGAGGTTAAATTTTTGAAATAATTTATAATCAAGGTCAATTTGATAATTAATTATTAAATAAAGACTGCAATAGTCAAAAAGCATATAAAGGAGCTTATAAGTCAATGGAGTTCACTACTCAAATGTCTATGTTGTGACCCAAAAGCAAGACTTCGGATGAGTGAAGTGGTTGAAGTATTGAACTGTTTGCCTGATTGCAAAGTCTTAACTTGTTCTTCACTTGAAAAAGGGTATTCTAATATATTATAGAATTGTAAATAATCTGTACAAAGGGTTCTCTATTTATAGAGAATATTTGACCTACTTTTAACCTAATGGGCTTGGCCCAATACAACAATAAATGACTAAATAAAAACTAAATAATAACTAAATCAATATTATTTACAACACTCCCCCTCAAGCTGAGGAATAAATATTTATCATTCCCAGCTTGCTAGTAAGTTCTTGAAATCTGTCTGAAGGAAGCCCCTTTGTTAATAGATCAGCCAATTGACGCCCAGTGGGAATGTATGGAGTGGTAATCAACCCGCTATCAAGTTTCTCTTTGATGAAATGGCGGTCAACCTCAATATGTTTAGTCCGATCATGTTGAACTGGATTATGAGCTATACAAATAGCGGACTTATTATCACATAGCAGCTTCATAGGTCCCTCACATTTTATTTTGAGATCATCAAGAACAATTTTCAGCCACAGTAACTCACAAATGCCTTGAGCCATAGCTCGAAATTCAGCTTCTGCACTTGATCTGGCAACCACATCTTGTTTCTTACTTCTCCATGTCACCAAGTTACCGCAAAGAAACATGCAATAACCAGTGGTAGAACGACGGTCAGTCACGGATCCAGCATAATCAGCATCTGTGTAGACTTCTAAAGATAGATTGCCATCACGTCGGAATAACAATCCTTTACCAGGAGTACCTTTAAGATACTGAAGAATTCTCTCTACTGCCTGCATGTGTTTTTCTTTTGGATCGTGCATAAACTGACTGACAACACTAACAGCATAAGCTTGGTCTGGTCTAGTATGGGCCAGATATATCAATTTCCCAACTAGCCGTTGATATTGTCCTTTATCAACTGGAGGACTCTCTTCTTCATAGCCCATCTTGTGATTCTGCTCAATAGGAGTATTAGAGGGTTTACACCCGAGCTTTCCTGCTTCTTTGAGAAGATCAAGAACATATTTCCTCTGGCTGATAAAAATTCCTTTGCTTGAATGAGCTACTTCTATCCCTAGGAAATATCTCAGTTTCCCAAGGTCTTTGATTTCAAACTCAGAGGCAAGCCGTGTTTGCAGAATCTGTCTCTCCACAAAATCATCACCTGTGATAATAATATCATCAACATATACAAGGAGCACAGTAAGCTTCCCATTTTAGGAGTGCTTGAAGAAAAGAGTGTGATCTCCTTGGCTTTGTCTGTATCCTAAGGTCATCATAACCTTAGTAAATCTTCCAAACCAAGCACGAGGTGACTGCTTCAATCCATACAAGGCCTTTTTTAATCTACAAACTTTATTTTCCCCCTTCACAGAATCAAAACCAGGCGGGATTTCCATGTAGACTTCTTCTTCTAACTCACCATTGAGGAAAGCATTTTTCACATCAAATTGATTTATATCCCAATTGTAATGGGCAGCAAGGGATAACAAGATTCTCACTGTATTCATCTTTGCAACTGGAGCAAAGGTTTCTTCATAATCAATGCCATAGGTTTGAGTGTAACCTTTGGCCACTAATCGAGCCTTATATCTCTCAAGAGTGCCATCAGAATTATATTTCAGGGTATAAACCCATCTGCACCCTACTGCTTTCTTTCCGTTGGGTCTATCAATAACCTCCCATGTTTTATTTTTCTCCAAAGCATTCATCTCCTCTTGCATGGCTTGAGCCCAATTCCTATCTTTCAAGGCTTCATGTACTGATTTCGGGATTGCAATAGAATCTAGTGCTGAAACAAAGCTTTTGTGCTGCACAGAAAGATTAGCAGAGGAAACAAAGTGGGAGATAGGGTATTGAGTACAAGAGGGACAGGAGGAACAAGTTTTCTTGTGACAAGATCTTTTTCCTTTTCTAAGAGCAATAGGTAAGTCATCAGAAGTAGAAGCAATGGGTAAGTCATTAGAGATATCAGAAGAAATAGACAAATCATGAGAGGAAATAATATTAGAATCAGAAACAGGAGATTCAGAAGAAATAGGAGATTCAGGACTTACCAGTGGTTCAGACTATTGAGGTTGCTGGTGAGACAGTATGGGTTGTATCTCATGTGTATTTGAAGGTTCTGACACACCAGGAGCAGACACACTAGGAAGAGAGAAGATTGATCCAGACTCAAAGAAGGAAGGGGACGAGTCTTCTGAAGAACTATTCTCCCCCTGACGATGAGGACCCAGGAAATAAGATTCAGATTCTTGAAAGGTGACATCCATAGAAACAAAAAATTTCCGACTTGGTGGATGATAACACTTGTACCCTTTTTTATAAGGGTTATAACCAAGGAAGACACACTTAAGAGCCCTAGGATCCAACTTACTCTGATGTTGTTTATGAACATGGACAAAGGCAACACATCCAAACACTCTTGGTGGAAGGCTCTGCAATATGGGAACAGAAGGAAAGAAGGAAGTCATGGAATGAATAGGACTGATATTGTTAAGGACCCGTGAAGGTAAACGGTTGATCAAAAAAGTTGCAGCTAATACTGCTTCTCCCCAATAAGAACTAGGAACAGATGTCTGAAAAAGTAGTGCTCTAGCAACTTCAAGAAGGTGACGATTTTTCCTTTCAGCAACCCCGTTTTGTTGAGGGGTATCAACACATGTGAGCTCATGAATTATACCTCTGTCTGAAATGAATTGTGACAGGCGTTGATTGACGTACTTAGTACCATTATCAGATCTGAGTCTTTTAATACCCTTACCAAACTGAGTCTCAACCATGTGATGAAACCGAATAAATATCTCTGTTACTTCAGACTTGTCTTTCATCAAGTATATCCATGTTATCCGAGTACAATCGTCAATAAAAGAAACAAACCACCTAGCACCTGAAACACTGTGCACTTTAGAAGGACCCAAACATCAGAATGGATAAGAGAAAAAGGTTCTCTGCTTTTAATAGTGCTAGAAGGAAATGACACTCGATGGTGTTTTGCAAATTCACAAACATCACAATGAAAGGTCTCAACCGACTTATTGAGAAACAGAGAGGGGAACATAGACTTCAAAAGACTAAATGGTGGATGCCCGAGACACTTGTGATGGAGCCAAATCATAGACTCTGCAGTAGAAGGATAACGTGTCATTAATAACTGATTTTTGCTAGCATGGTCTGGAAGGAGATGATACAACCCATCCTGTTCATTAGCAACTCCAATTGTCTTCTTCGTGGTAAGATCCTGAATAAGACAATGAGAAGGAAAAAATGTGATAGAACAATTCAAATCAGTTGTAAGTTTTTGAGTGGAGATAAGATTAGTAGAAAGCTGAGGAACATAAAGAACATTTTTAAGAAACAAGGAAGGTTGAATTTGAATGTTACCAGAACCAATAACTGATTTATGGGATCCATCAGCTACGGATATAGTATGACTACCAACAGTAGGATGATAAGAACAAAATAACTCAGTACGACAAGCCATATGATCAGTTGCACCAGAATCCAAAATCTATGAGGTTTTAAAATCAGTGCAAGAAGCAAGAAGAGATATAGAACGTGTGCTCTTACCAGATAAGATCGAAGAACTATCATGCTCAGCCATTCTTTAACAAAAAAAGTTAACAACCAGCGATAAAATCAACCAAACAGAATATCAAATGACCTCTGATCAGAAAAATAATTACAGATCCAGACAGAAGACAAGAAGACGAGAAGAATGGTGGTGGTCCGGTCCAAAAACTCGGCCGCACGCGCCTCCACGCGCCGGAGAAAGGAGCTGCGCGTGGGATTCACTCGCCGGGAAAGGGGCGGCGCGTGAGAGCGCGTGGATGGGCTTCGCCGGCTGAGATTTTTCTGGTGTGGTCGTCCGGTGAGCGCACACCTGTCTGTGGGTGGTCGCGGTTGAAAAGTCGCCGGAAAGTGGTCCAAACGGTGAAGACAGATCTGATTGGAGGCGATCGGAGGTGTTTCGGTCGTTTGTGGCGGAGGAACACTGCGTAGAATGATAGATCGGAGGAAAAATAAGGTCAACAATGGTCCCCTTGGTCCAAAAGGTCCCCGGAAAAATTTTCCGGTGGCGGCTAATGGCGGCAAGAGGCAAAGAAATTAGGGTTTTGTTAAAAAAGAAGATAATATGTGCGGAAGCAAAGCCCTCAGATCGAGAGCTCTGATACCAACTTGAAAAAGGGTATTCTAATATATTATAGAATTGTAAATAATCTTTACAAAGGGTTCTCTATTTATAGAGAATATTTGACCTACTTTTAACCTAATGGGCTTGGCCCAATACAACAAAGGGCTTGGCCCAATACAACAATAAATGACTAAATAAAAACTAAATAATAACTAAATCAATATTATTTACAACATTTTCCCTCTCATTTCAGGGTTTACAAGTAAGTTCCTCCAACCATGGAGCTAACAAGTATCGCCTCAGAATGAGTTCATCATCAAAAAAAATTCCCTAGTCTCGAAATATCACTGGCCTCTGAGCTTCCTCATGCAGAAATGCAAGGCGCTTTGCAGCACCAAGCATAACTTTCATTATGTGATTCCAAGGAAGAGGCACAAATCCTACAAATAAGTGACATTATATTATTATTACTTATTCTCTGGTATTCTATAGTATACAGTCATTAACAGAGTCCCTTTTCTTTCTCCTTTCTTTAATAAATTCTAAAAAAATGCTATAATAAAAATTTGAATGTTACATAAATTAAAAGACATACTCTTAAACTGATGATTCTCCAAGCTTCCTCGAAGCATGAACTCGTATACTAGTAGCCTTTTATCATCTTCAATGCAAAAACCAATCAATTTAACTAGATTTGGATGACGGAGTTGCCTAAGAAAGTTAACTTCAGCCGGCAATTATACATAAAACAGTGAACATATATTAAGTGATGTAAATCATAGAAATTTGCCAAAATAAAATAGTTTATATTTAGGGTTAATTATTTAGCATAGTAAGTTACAAGCCATTCCCTATGACCCTGAAGTCCATTCTGGTTATGAGTCTTCACCAAGCAAATTTTGAGGTTTGAAATTGCTTGTTGCCACCTTGAGCTCATTGAAGGAGAACTTCTGAAGATTGGAATAAGCACTTAGCTCCTCGCTTAAGCTTGAAGAAGATGTAGCAATTCTTTTTAACTTGGGAGATGATCTTGCTCTTCTTGGGTTACTGCTTCTTGAGGATACAGGATACCTGAGCAGCAACTGGTTTCTCTCTAGCATTGTGATTGGTTATTGTTGATCTACTTCCTTCTGATTTACAAGGATTAAAAGAAGATATCAGTTCATAACATAATTGTGACACTTGAGAATGAGATTAAGTATAAAGATTCATGCCATCACAAAAAGTAATGGCTAAACAATTCCATTAAAATCAAAAAATAATAAACAAACACTGCACCTATTATAAGTATATATTAAAAGTGAATTATTAAGTAAAATTAAAAAATGATACAAACTCTAACAATAATAGTTAAACAAGGTATATGTAGAATACCATCTTTTTTGTCCATAGAGGAGCCTCCTTCAGCTTTAAACCGCAAAGCCACGCAACTTGACAAAAACCTTAGTTTCCACCAAAACCGTGAACTTTGTCTTCAATAGCTCTATTGGTGTTGTTGTTAGTTTTTGTTGTTTTTGTTTTTTCTTTCCTCATACTTTTCCACATTTGAAGCTCCAAACGTTCATTCCACGAGGACTTGCCATATCTTCAACTCGGAAGCCTAAACTGTAGACATATAAACTTCAACACAAAAACTCAAATAGAAAAAAAAATTGAAAAGAAAAAAGAAATAATAGGAGAGTGCACCGAGTAGCAGAAACAATGACAGATATAGATATGAAAACTCCAAATGCAAAAACCAAAAGCAAAAAATTAACAAATGTAGAACCATTCCAGAACAGAGAGAAGTTTGTCATGAGAACAAAAAATGAACAAACCCCACATGGGAAAATTGGATTTGGAACATTTTGATACATTAAAAAAAGGACATGAAAATGAAGGCAAGAAAAGCATCACCTGAGAGAGAGAGAGGGGGGGTGTTTGGGACTAGAACAGAGAGAGAACTTGGGAATTTGAAAGTTATGGAAAGTAGTAAGAGATTGAATATGATAAAAGGGGTGAGTCCAATGAAGGCTAGAAGTGTAGTTTATATTGAGCATTGTCACTGTCACACTACAACACGTGACACTTACACCCATAAGCAAGAGAAGATGTTGCATAGGCCAATGCACCAGAAGCAAACAAAACAAGATCCTGGCTTTGGTGAAGAGAGAGAGAGAATCAAGGGCCAAGATGAGAAAGAAAGAAGGGATCCCCTCATGTAAAAAATTTATATGGTTGTGTCTATATATTAGGGTTAGCATGGTAAATCATAGCACTTTGCATGGTAAAAAATAGCAGTTAATTATAGTTAGGGTTAGCATGGTAACTTACAAGCCATTCCCTATGGCCCTGAAGTCCATTCTGGTTATGAGTCTTCAAAGCAACTGAAAGCCCCATTCCAGGTCTTGCTGAAGAGTTCTCATTCTCACTGATCCAACCTTTGTAAACCCATCCAAATCCACACTCACCAAGTAAATTCTGAGATTTAAAATAGCTTTTTCCCAAAATGAGCTCATTGAAGAACTTCCGAATATGGGAATAAGCTTTTAGCTCCTCGCTTAAGCTCGGAGAAGATCTACCAATTTCTTTTAACTTGGGAAAAGATCTTGTTGTTTCTGAATTATTTTTTCTTGGGGAATTGCTAACATTGCAATTGGTTGATTTATTTCCTGCGGATTTACAAGGGGAAAAATGAATATTGATTCAGAATCGAATTGTGACACTTAGAATAAGAGATTAATGTTAAACTCATAATTTATCATGTTCTAATGGGCTAAAATCAGAGTTATTAACTTTCAAATCTAGCCTAAAGCATGAAAACTTAGAGTTATTTTATTAGAAAGATTTATTCTTTTTTTCCTCTGACATCTGAGTAATCTTTGCTATTTTTGTAGGAAAATCGAGCTAATTGGAGAAGAAATGTGTGGGAGAGTGTTGAACAAAGCAAGCATTTTCATGGAAGTCTTATTTTTGAAAAGAATATCCCTATCTTTTGGCCAATTTTACATATCCAATATGACATATTTGGATCTTCTGGTCTTCTTTGAAGTTGTAGATCTCTCTTATTTGTCCAACAAGACCAAGATCGTGTCAATCGGATAAGTACAGCTCAAGTTATGGCCGAAATACAAAAGTCAGTTGCTGTTGAAGATGAAGAAACTCATCATCTTGAAGTTTCAATGGAGGGATTGAAGGCACACTCATGGGTTTTCACCATTAACCACTAGAGATGGAGCTTTGAGGAATCTTTATTTTCTGTTTTTTTTTTAATTTGAACATGTCTGGCTAATTCTTCTTGTAATCTAGGGTTAGATGGATCTTGATGTTAACCTATTACTTGAGTGCTAATTTCTTAATGCATTATTCCTTCTCTTTTGTTTGAATGAATTTTTTGTTCTTAATGCTTTTACGGGTTTGCTCTCCATAGATTAATTTAGGAATTATCTATGGAAATAGACATGTTAGTAGATGAAACTGGAAAGGTTAATTCATTATAACGTTGTTTGACTTAGACATAGGCTAATAACTTATGCGATCATTAGGTTCTAATTATTAATGCGTATTTCAATTATAGTTTCACTGAGAAATCAAGAATCTTAAAGGGAATACAGGGCTAGGATATGTCTAGACATTATGCCCTAGTCAAACTTAGAGAACCGATCGCCATCATTAGAAGGAATGATAATTAAGAATTAACAACGAGTGATAGGTGAGCATTTAGAGAAGTCGAACCCTAGCTACGCTTCTCCTATTATTTACAAAAATCTAGTTACAATCTTGTTTTCTTTTTTAAATTATTTCTTAAATTGCTACCTATAATCGATTTTTTAATCAGTGATTGATTGTCTGTCGAAACCACTTTTGAATTTAGATAAACATAGTGAATTATTGCTTGAAATTAGTCCTCGTTAGAAAGATACTCACTCATCACTTTACTATTTGGAAATGACGGGTATATTTGTCGTATTCACAACAATTAACTATAAAAGATTCAGCCCTCACAAAATATAATTACTAAACAACTTGTACCTCTCTTTGACTTATATATATATGATACTAGTTGAATGTATAAAACAATTTCATCTAAGTGTATATTAAAAATGAATTTTTAATTAAAATTAAGTTTAAAATGAAATTTTAACTATGTTGTCGACATAAACTTCAACAGAAAACTAAAATAGAAAAAAACAAAGAATGGGAGAGAGAAATTAAATTAAAATAAGAGCAATTTAACTTCAAGTCAAAGGCGTACTCTGGATATCATAAATTAAAGAAAATCAAAGTGGATTTCAAGAATAAATCAACAAAAAAGTAATATTTAAATATATTAGATGGAATATAAGCAATTCAAATTCAAGGATCATAACTTTCTGATAACATAATGAGATGGAAGATAGAATACTAACCCGTCATAACATAATCAAGGGTTGCATAGCCATATGTTCCCATCACTTGAGTTGAAACATGAGTTAAGTCTCCCTCTTGAGCATCTTTAGCAAGCCCAAAATAGCAAATTTTTGCATTATATTCCTAAAACCGAAAATTGTTAAGATGGAAGGAAAGTTGTGTTGAAAATTAGAATAATATACAACATTCCACTTACCAAATCTATTATCAGCGGAAAAACTTGAGAATTTCATTAGGAGAAAAAGTGTATTCAAAGTACAATGAGATAATGATATATATCAGATAAAGAGAGAAGAATAAAAAGCAACGTACAAGAAGAAAAAATCTTATTAGTGACGAAATTTTGTGAAATTTCGTCACAAATTCCTACGTCGCAAGTAAATTTCGTCACAAATTCCTGAGTCGCAAATTTATTTGTGACAAAATTTGATTATTTGTGTCAAAAATTGTTATTTGTGACAAACTTTATGATGAAATTTTTCGTCACAAATAAACTTTTTTCTTGTAGTAACTAACTTATCACCAAGCTAACTTACAATGGTTACTATAGTGATAAACACAAAGACTGACATGACTTAGTTACTATAGTGATATCCCCCCTCAAGTTGGGAGGAGAATGTCCATATGAGCCCCAACTTGGAAACAATTGATTGAAAAGGAGCTGGTTGTAAAGGCTTGGTTATAACATCAGCTAATTGTGCCAATGAGAGTGGAACAAGGTTTGCAACCTAGAAAACCACTATCAGAAAGAAACTCCAAAGCATATTTGCATTGGTTCATGATTATCCCAATGGAGGAACGAGAGACCTCAATTCCAAGGAAAAATCGAAGAGGGCCCAAGTTCATGAATTAGTGTTTGAATGGAGTTGTTTTGGTCAATAGCATCAAGTGGTGGCATGACATTGGGATTAGCATCATCCGTAGAAATGATGAAGGGATCAATGACATTATAATGAAGAGGAAAAACACAAGAACTATTGGAACGATCCTTTTGTGTTATAAATATAAATGTTAGCTCATGAAAAATGACATTCGAGATACAAAGATTTATGAGAGGAAAGATCAAGTAAAACATACCCTTTTATCCTTTCTTTAAAACCTAAAAACACACACTTATGAGCACGAGGTGAGAACTTGGTTCTGTGGCTTAACAAGGAGCTAGCACAACACAAACAACTGAAGATTTTAAGGTGAATAAGGATAAGGGGAAAGCCATACAGAATTTTGTATGGTGTTTTATGATTCAGAAGGGGAGTGGTGGTGCGGTTTATTAGATGAACCATATGGGAAACACAATACTACCATAGTTGGATAAGTAAGTTCACTTGAAAGAGAAGCGCTCTTGCAACGTTAAGCACATGCTAGTGCTTACATTCAACTACTCTGTTTTGCTTAGGAGTTTCGATACATGCATAACGTTTGGTGTATAATACCCTTATGTTGGTAGTGTTTGGGCATATCTTAATTATCAAATAATAATCAAATAAGACTTAAGAAAAACCAAATTATCCTTATGTTGAATGAAAATCGATCTTTATTCTTTAGATGGTATTATGTGTGCCCATAAGAAAAGGGGCGAAATGAAAGAGAAGTGTAGGGTGCTAGCTTAAGAGTTAAAATTGGAACTTAAAATATTAAATGAAGATATAAATGGAACAAAAACATTATCTTTTTTATAAAGTTCATGTGTTTTGCTTATACAAAATAGAGAAAGAAAGAAAGAAGCTAGAAAATGGAAGGTTTGATCCCTAACAAAAAGGAATACAGTCACATTTTTGGGGCTAAACTCCCAATCATAGTTATCAAATGTGACTAGTACATAGAAATTCTTCCTATGTTGGATGAAAATTTATCTCTAATTTCTAGATGGTATTTTTATGAGCCGCTGGGAAAAGAGGGGAACAATGTGATAGAAATGTCGTGATAAATATATTAGGTAGAGAGTTAAAAAAAATTAAATGAGGATATAAATGAAAAAAAAATATTACATTTTAGTTAAAGTTGATGTGCTTTTTTTTCAAAAAAGAGAGAGAGAAAAAAAGATATAAGGTGTTCAATAGACTTACATGAGAAGATTTTTTTAGGAAAAAAAACATTTTGGGAAAACAAAAGTAACGCAAAGGTGCAAACAGAAAGGTATACAGGTTTTGAGTCTAATCTTCCTATCTTAGTTATCAAATGAGACTTGAGTAGATCAAAATTATTCCTATATTAGACGAAACTCAATCTCTAATCTCTGAATGGTAGTATATGTGCCTCCAGAGAAAGAGAAAAATAATGTGAGAGAAATATTGGGAGAAGGGTATTAAATTAAGAGTTTAAATTGTAAATGAAGACCAAAATGGTGGTAGCTCAGTTGGCGCATGGGAGCTAAGCAGGTGGGGTGAGAGTGTGTTCGAATCTCCCCAGTACCACCTTTGGGAAGGGTTTAAAGCGTTAATCATGGACCCGCCTCAAATCGGATTAGTTGAAGCAATGAACCGATTGGAATGTTATCAAAAAAAATTGTAAATGAAGATATAAATGAAATAAAAAAAGTTATGTTTTTGATAAAGTTTATTTTTTATTAAAAATAAAGGGAATCTAGGCTTTTCATAAGAAGCTATTATTATTTTTTATGAGAAATTTTTTTTTTTGATAAAAACCAAAGCGATTGAGAGGTAGGAATAAAAATAAAAATAGTTGAGTTTCCGGGCTAAGCTTAATACCTTTGTTATCAACTGAGACTTGAACAAATCCAAATTCACTTTATGTTGTTTGAAATTCAACTATATTCTTTGGATAGTATTATTTGAGCCCTGAGAAAAAAGATATTAATATGACAAAAGAGTCTGGGAAAGGGTATTAGGTTAAGAATTGAAATTAAAAATTTACAACGGGGATATTAATGCAACAAAAAAGTTAATTTTTTGATAAAGTTGGTCTTTTTTTGAGGAAAAAAAGAAGAGAAAAGCTAGAATATGTTTTTGAGGATTTAAGAACAAGTTATTTTTTTTTTTAGGAAAACAAAGAAAATTGCGAAAAATAAAAGTAACGGAGAGATGGGAACAAAAGCATTACATTTGGGTTTGGGTCCAAGCTTCCTTACTTATATCAACTACGATTTGAGTAGATCCAAATTTTCCCAATGCTGGATGAAAGTGTATCTCATTTATGTGGATAATATTTTGCATGCCACTGAGAAAATGGGGGATAATGTGAGATAAATTTTGGTAGAAGAGTATTTGGTTAAGAGTTAAAATTAAAAATTTTAATTGAGCGT